TAGGGCAGAAGAAAACAGCATCTGTGAATATCAGTTCAAATTGTTTGCTCATGCGTTGTCTCCGTAATTTTGGCGCACCCTGTATAGTGACAGGAAGACATAAGAAAAGGAAAGTTAGGCGAAGTAAAGGCGAAAGGTGGCAGAGGTACCGTTCGATAGCGAATGCTCCCCCCTCATTTTCGCACCTACAACCTACTCTTCCCTCAGAGAGCCTCTTTCTCCCCCATTGTTATCCCTATCACTGACCCGTCCATACTGCGGACCGACAGAGTACCGTTTTGATAGCGAGTGCGCTCAAATGTTCAGCAACCAGCAACTGTGATCAAATTTTCGTAGACAGAACACCAACCTGTCAATGAAAGGCAGTGAGGAAGAACAAATTGGTAGAAGAATCGAAAGACTTTCAGACAGAAGGGTAGGTAGACGGGCACAGGTAGACAGACGGGGCAGACATGTACAGAACGCAGACAGCTGGACAGACAGACACGGACGTATGCAGATGGACGAAAATGGATGGACGGGGGGACACGGGCGGGTAGCACACAGACAGACACGCACGGGCAGAAGCGGACAGAGGGGACGGACACGGACGGGCAGATCCGTACGGAGGTGGACGGACAGGCACGAACAAAGGGAAAGACAAGAAGTGACGCGGACAGACACCCACCACGACGTAGCACGCGCGTCAGACGAGCCTGGCGACGGTCGATCCTCTTTTGTAGAAAACCTCTTCAGCGCCTCTTGGCACACAATCGCTCTTGTGGATCTGGAACAAAACCACCTATGAAAAGCGATCCAGAAAATTTCCGGCGCCCACATTTGACAGATAGACACAGACATTTGGATGCAGCAGGTCATGCCGACTGCAGTAATCCTAAGTCCTAAATGGAGAGAGGTGGACGAATTAATTTCACGAAAAGCAGGTTAGGTAAGCACACAAGACAGATAACAAAGGCCGCGGATTCACTGTTACCGTAATCCGTGTTAGCATTGGTGCGCGCTGCAGCAAGCATTGGCGCGCCCTTTAAGCGACGCAAGGATTAGCACAAGAACCAAAACATTGGGAAAGTCACAAAGCGGTGGAATAAAGAGTAGACAAGGGAGCATAGAAGAGAGTAGGGGTCTCATCTAGTAAGGGGGCATGTGGTGTGACAGTTCTTGCCGGCTACAGAAATTCCAATTTTTGCAAGGGGAGGGAATCCCCGGGGTGCGTGAACCATTTCGCTTAAACTTTACACCCACCCCGGAGCTTCCCTCCCT